CCGATAGTTTCTTTGAATGGCTACACTGGTTTGCATTCCCACCATGGGCTTTTTATTTGGGGAAATTTTTATGAGTTTCCGTAAAGCCCAGAGTTAGTGACAAAAGAGGATTACCGTAGGTAAGAATAATTACTAGAACTCCTGAATTATTGCTAGGTGGCAGTTCCAGATGAAATATATAGCCGTGCTTTTTATAAGATCATGTGCTCTTTGAGAGTTAGAGCTATGTGGAAGGGTAGGAACTGATCTTGTAATTTATGAACTTTCTGGATACGGACAAAGTATGCTCCAGACCAAGGATTCAGTTCTGCTCATCATCAACAAATTGTCATTTTCAACTCGGCTATTGTTGTTATTGATAATGTTTGTTTTATATGTGTATAATTCTGAGGTATTTTATAAGTATTACAAACCTTATTTTCTCTCTAAAAGCCGGGCTATGATAAATTGATAGTATACAAAATGAATGGGAAAATTACACATATTAAATAAATGATTGGACATAAGAATGATTATGAAGAATAGTTCCACAGTGTGTGCATTTGATAATTGGCCAAAGGTGGAGAAATGTGAATGTCTGAAATGTTTTTTGGAGAGGATCATTGTTAAAGTGGGGTGCCTATTTACTTAAAGGTTGATTCATGTTAAAATTAGGCCTTCAAGAACTTAAAGGCTAAGCGTGGTGAATGGAAGTGCTACTGTGGAAATTTATCAAAACCCACAGATGGCACCGTGGGTTCAAGATCTTTTCTAATCTGCAGGTGTGGATGTCTTAGCTGCCAGAGTTTCCCTCCCTTCTCCTGTTGGTAGAGATTGTGGCAAGGCGGGGTTGCCCACCTCAGCAAATGGGTAGGGTTTTTTTTTAATGTTCAAAATATCAGCTAGGAGGAAATGCAGACCCTGTATGCCTAAATCTCACTCATGGTTTTCGACTTTCAAACTAAATGGATTTAACTACCTTTTGGAATCCAACCTGTTTGTAAGTAGAACTGCCTCCATATATTTCATATTCTGAAAACCCTACTGATCTTTAAATTGAATGGCACTAAAAAAGAGGGACAAAATACCTGCTGGGCACAAATCCTATTTCCTCAGGGTGAGCTTTACAGTTGCTGGTAGAATAGCTGTGCTGAATGTAGGCATGTAATATACTGCGGCACATCAGTGCAGTTGGGCTTGGTGTTGGTGTGTGGTCTCTGCCTTTGTCAGGTCTGCTGCTCACTGTCCAGATTGGATTTTTGTAATGGTTCTCCCCCTACCCCCGACTCGGCCCTTTTTTCCCAGCTCTTAGCGCTGAAGCCATCGTATAGTCTTTTGTAGTTTAATGTCTGGTTTTAAAATTATTGTGGGGTTTTTTATGTCTTATCTTTGATGTAGCTAGATACATTAAAATTAGTGAGTCTCTGTCAAAATGTATTATTTAATGTAGGGACAATGGACACACATATTTTAAATTACACAATTTATCTTTTGTCTGGATTAGGGCTGCCACTGCCTAAAAAAGATGCTGCTGCGATTGTTGACTGGCACTGTTACTACTTCTGAATGCTGATCAGCAGCTAACATGTATCTTAAATTAATCTCCAAAGTATTATTTGTACAGTAAAACTTAAAATTATTTTTCTAATTTAAATGGTTCATTAAATCATTGTGTTTACTATAATTCGGTGTCTGCACTTCTGTCAAGGTGAAGTTTCCCTGAATTGTTTTAGCCTTTCTGTAAGTCTGTTTTGACCAGAGTATCCTGTGTTAAGGAAGTAGGAAGATTTTTTTAAGGCACAAGGCCTATATTTAGGCACTCACTGTTGACCATTAGTTTCCATGGCTAGGCTAAACTAAGTCATTAATCATGTTGTTTTCTGCCAGCAATATTTGTATCAATGCCATGTTTTGCTTGTTCTTTTTTAAGTCTCTTATTAAAAGAAGTCACTTGGCTATTTTATTTTCTCCTAATAATGCATGCTTGATTGGTTGTTTTATAAAAAATGCTGCAAAGTTGTTCCTGAAAAGAGCGAGCAGAGATCCAGCATAGAAAGTAGATGGTACTCAAGGAAATACTTAGAATATATGTGTACAAACTAGGAAAGGCATTGAAAAATGTGTTGTTTGGCTTGCCAAAGTTTAGTTTTTACTCCATTTAGGACTCTGATTTTGCATGGTTTCTTTTCATGCATCAGAGAAGTAGAAAAAAATGATTAATGGCACTNTTTACTCCATTTAGGACTCTGATTTTGCATGGTTTCTTTTCATGCATCAGAGAAGTAGAAAAAAAATATCACTTGTCATAGGGCAGGAAGTAAATGTGACTTATGATGTTGAGAGAAGATGCCATTATGGAGTCAGGAAGAGGGGTTTACATTGTGCTTAACTTTGTGTAAGGTACAAAAATAATAATAATGATAATAAAATTGTACTAATTGGTGCTAATAGAAATAATAACTAATATTCATATAATATTTACTATATTCTAAAGCATTGTTTTAAGAGCTTTACACGTATTAGCTCATGTAAATTCCCCCATGGGCCCTGGAGTAGGTGCTATTATTTCCCTCTCCCAACTGACTTAATCCCCATAGCAACCCCATTAAGTAGACCCTGCTAGTAGACCCATTTTACAGATGAAGAAATGAGGGTCAGGTATGAGGACTAAAATGCTCATTCCCTTTAGCTTCTGATTTTTTTTTTTTAAATTATAACTTCTATCTTGACAGTGAGAAACTGTTAAGATAATGTGCTCAGTCAGAAAACCAGTAAATAAGACAAAAATCCAGTCTTGTCTAATGCTAAATTATAGACATTATTCTATACTCACTGTTGCCACTCCAAACTAGACCTACTGAGGAGCTAAGATCTAGACCAGGGCATATCCAAAGGGTTTATTTAGTTCTAAAGAGTCACCAGGAAGAACATATCATTCCCAAATCATCCCTGACCTGCTCTACAGTCTGCAGGTTGGGCAGGTTCTTGGATTGCCCTGGAGGTCTAGATTCCTTCTGCATGACTCTGGAGAGGGACTTAATTCTGTGTTCAGCTTGTTTTTCTCTATTCTTGTATGCAAGAGCTAAGACCAAACCATTAATAAAACCTCCAAAACCGATTAAGAAGCAGTTCTCTTGTTTGTGCCCTGACCAGGGATCAAACACACAACCTTGGTGTATCAGGTTGATGCCCCAACCACCTAAGCTACTCGGTCAGGGCATCTTACTTGTATGTGGAATCTAATGAACAGAATAAACTGATGAACAAAATAGAACCAAAGGCATGGATACATGGAACAGATTGACAGAGGTCAGAGGGGAGGGTGGTAGGGAGGACAGTAAGAGATTAACTGAAGAATTTATATGCATATATGCCTAACTCATGGACAC